GTGTGTGTGTGTGTGTGTGTGTGTGTGTGTGTGTGTGTGTGTGTGACTGTTCAGATGTGGTGAAACATTCCTGGAGGACCAGCACTAGAAAGGTGGAAGTAAGACATTCAAATACAGCCTGATACATGAGACCCTGTCAAGAACAAATAAACAAACAGACCAGTTTAAACATAGTAATTCTAGGAATAGTTCCTAATGAGAAAATTTCTATCTTTCATTTAAAAAATAAAAAATCTTCTTTTGAGGATGTTTATTTAAAATAATCAAGCACATATATTCTCTTTAAATAATTTGAGATAGATGAAAATGACAGTTTAAGGCAGCCACTCAGGAAAACTATATCTATCAAAAGAATGTTTTCATATTAGGTCAGTTGTAAATCCTAGGATAGCCTTGACAACATAGCAAGATCCGATCTCAATGAGGGGGAAAGGGAGTGTTTTCTTGGTCCAGTGGCTAAGGCTTTCTCCTTCACCCTCAGCTTCTCCCATCAGAGTACTTGGCTCCTGTGTTGCATATGAAATGATTCAGTCCATACCAACTCACAGTTATGACCCAAGTAGCATTGCTTATATATGCTCCTCTGCTTCTTACCTTTAGATACTCTCATCTTTGCTGAGGTAATATTCAAGTGTTTTTCCACAGACAAGAAGATCCTGTTTAATGTCGAGCTTTACCTTAGATCATATGCTTAGCTCATAAACCTCCTGGTACCTGGTCCTTTCCTGTATTTCTCCAGTGGCCTAAGTTCTAGTTGATCTCAGAATGCTTACACTTGCACTTTCTAATAGCTAGGTTGCCCTTACCTCACTTCAACTCCCATTTTTGTTTTCGAATCTTTGGTAATCACTGAGTTTCTTTTCTAATTCTGAAAAGTATCTCTCAGGTCTTCCTGTCATAAAACCTCAGGGTTTTTTTTTTTTATTTGCCATAATTCTAACAGTTATTTGTACAGAAAAATCTATACAATTCACAACTGCACATGCGTAGTAGTAGAAACAGTACCCCATTATGTATGACAGGAATGACAGGAAGAAGTAAAATAAATCTTGATCACAGAAGTAAGCCATAGGATGCATGAGGGAGCAAGTTGAGCACTCAGATTGGAGCTAGCTAATGTCAAGCCTAGATCCTGGGTCTAAATGAGGGTAAGTGGAAAACCCCTGGTACATGAACCAAAGGGGTAAATATCATATTGAAGAACAAAATGAGTAATTTATATAGGTAAAGGACTGTACTCCTGCGAGTAAATTATACAGGTAGGAAATTGTCTCCTACAAAGTGAAGTACACTGTCCTCATGTTAGAGAACAAATGTGTACTAACAAAGTGAATGATACAAGAAGGAAGAAATGACCCTGTTTCCTGAAAAACAAACTACCCAGGAGTGAGGACTGTTTCTAACAGAGTTAACCACCCAACACAGTCAACTACACAAGGAGAGGGCTCTTCTTAACACAGTCAGACACAGAGTGAAGACTTACTCCCATACAGTGAGATAACAGTCATGAGGGCTCTCTCCAACCCAAACTACACAGACTATCCCTGAAATAGCCAACTACACAAGATGAGGAGAGTGTCCAACACCACCAACTACAGGCTCAGGACTGTCTTTAACACAGTATAATACATACTGATGAGGAATAAAACACAGTAAACTACAAGGGGTAAGGATTGGGTCCAACACATGTTTGAGACAGTCTTTCATTACTGTGTATTATTACACAGGACTGACTCCAACATAGTCAGCTATGCATGATAAAGATTGTATCTAACACAGTCAAAACCAACTAAGAATTTTCTCAACATAAGGTGAGGACGATCCATAAGACATCAACTATACAGGCTGAAGACTGCCTCCAACACACTGAAACACACTGATTGTCTTCAACAGAGGAACCACAGAGGCTGAGAAAGGTCTTCAATGTCGTCAGCTACACAGAGATGTGAACTGTGTCTACAACTGTGAACTACACAACATGGATAAGAACTGTTTCCAACAAGCACAATATACAGGAAGTATCTCCAGTATAGTGAATTATCTCCAGTATAGTGAATCTGGATCCAAAACTGTTAATAACACATGATAAAAAAAAATCTCCAATCAATGAGCTATATGGGAGAAAAGTATTTTCTCAAACATGAAGTACTAGACAGTAGAGGATGACTGTCTCAGATGGGTGATGTAGACAGTTCTGAACTGTTGTTAAAACAACCAGCTACACAATTTAAGGACTGTGTGTAACACAGTGAACTACTGAAGGTAGGAACTATCTCCAACATAGTGTATGACATAGGGTTGAAAAATTGTGTCCAGCACAGGAGTAAGGATTATGTCCAAGACAACAAAAGGCATGAACTAATTCCAACATAGTGTATAACACAAGGAGAGACCCTTCTCAGCACAGGGAACTACACAGGGTAAGGACTGCCTCCAACAGAGTAGAATACACTGGGGTGAGGGCTATTTCCAAAACAGTGAACAGCACAGTGTGAGAACTCTGTCTAACATGGGGTAATACACAGGCTGGTAACTGGTTTCAGCACAATGTAATTCACAAGAGACTATGTGTAGCACAGTGAAATACATAGGAGTGATAAACTGTTTTCCACACAGTGAGCTACACAGACCAAAAACAAGTTCTAGCACAGTGAACAACACTCAGTCAGGCCTGTTTCCAACACAGTGAGCTACCCAAGGTTAGGCCAATGTTTAGTGTATTGAAATAAATACACAGGGTGAGGATTGTCTCCAACATAGTGTAATAAACAGTATGACTGTCTCCAACAAAGTGAACTACGCAGTTTGAGGACTTGATCCCAACACACTGGAATACACAAAGTAAAGGCTGACTCCAACATGGTGAACAACACAGGGTAAGGATGTTCTCCAACACACTGGACTACATTTACAGTAGTCCAATACAGTGAAAACATTGTGAGGACCGTCTTCAACACAGTGAACTACACAGGCTGTACAGCACAGTCGACTACACTCACACACATTCACTCATTCAGTAGAGAAAGACTCCAATACAATGCAATTCAGAGCAGAGGAGTTTTGAAGTGTTTCCCACTTAGATCTCCTGTGTCTAATTTTGATGTTTGTTACATTTAGATTTTATTTCATATTATCTAATAAACAAGTCTTTCCCTTCTCATGAATATTTGCCTCTTTGAGCTTTTTGTTTTGATGATGACAGAAATGAATATCATCATCAAATTACATTTTCACCAAGAAAAGTTGTTTGGTTCTATTGCATAGATTCCTAGTATGAGTTAGAAGAGTCACGAGCACAAATCATCTTTCAATAATGATAGCAATGACAGGATAAGAATGTGCACAGTAGCATTCAGAGTAGAAGTGTACCTCATTCTCTCCACAAATGCATAGTTGCAATTTCAAATAATTCCTACTAAGCATAAATTCTTGGAGGGAAAAAAAAAAAAAACAAGTCTTCAAATTCCTTTCCATCAGCCAAGATTCTGCCACACATATATCATTGGAATGATAACTCTCTGGGGACAATCACATCCTCTAAAAATAATTTTGTCTTTACTAGGATTCCTGTAGTAGGCATAGATTCCCACAACCAGAGGCATCTATCAAGAAAAGAGAAGGAACATTTTACCTGATATTCACCAATGCCAAACACCAGCAAAACACCAATGAGGTCATGTGACATTCACATGAGAGCCTCATTACAGTTAAGCAGAGTTAGGAAAATCTATTCATAGGAAGGTCAAATGCCTTATCAGATGGAGTACAGTTTTGTCAAAGGTTTCACTCTTTGGTTTCTGATCCTGAGAACAATTACATGATATTGCTTCATTTCTGACAACCCCCATGCTTACCATGGCCAGTTTTTCTCCTAGATATGCTGATATACACTTTTGTTTCTCTGAAGTAGAAACATCACGAAGATCAGCCTTGTTTCCTACTAACATGATAGGAATAGTTCTATGGGCTCCATCCTACCAGGAAGGAAAATAAATGGACATACATCAAACATTGAACCAATAATGGTGTTGCGACAATGATACAAGTATCCAATTGTCTCAAGGTGCCAAATTTAGCCTTTGTAATCATTTATACTTTGTAGAACAAAATTCATATCTATTTTCATTTTTTATGTCTTAGTGCTAATTTGCAAAATTTCTTAAAATTAAGATAATATTTTTAAAACTCAACGTGCCCTGAGATACAATCACCCTTTTTCCTCTGAAATTCAGAGAGGTGAAGTAAGAAGATGTAAATCTGAAGGTTGAGGTCCAAAGGAACTGTATTGTCTCACTTAGGCACTGTTCCATTCTTGGGTAATAGAAAATGTAAAGGGTATGAAACTAGGCAGCTGCAGAGTACTCAGTGTATTTTAATCACTACATAGCCCAGTAGCATGACCAGAGAATTCTGTGCAGGTGGAATGTCCACAGACTGTTGGGTGACAATGTCTCCTTAAAAAAATAGTCATTCTTCATCAATTGCTTTATCTCAAATTCAAAAGTATACACTATTCTTTACCTATGCAAGAACAAAACTGGGGTTTAAGGTTCTACACTCACTATTCTAGTTTATAATAAAGTGAAATAGTCAAGTCCTAAATATCAGTCTTCTTAAGTCATAAATTCCAAAATCACCCAAATAGTGTGTGCAGATTTTCACACGATATCAGACCCCCTAGTGGGGCCAGAGGCCCATGTCTGAGGTGAGGGTCTCATATGGAACAATCCACCTTGTCATGCTATGCTGTAAATAAAAGATGTGACGGACAGAACAGAAACACAAGTTTCTACTTCCTTCCTAGGATAAGCAGCAGTCCCGCTATAAACACATGGGAATTACACTGAAGTACTAAAATGACATGCTCACTCAGTTTGGTATGTCCCTCATACAGGATCAAGACATGAATATAAAAATAAGATGTATTTGACTTTCTGACTTTGACTTAAGGATTATAAGTATAAGTGTTATTTGATGTAAAGGAGAGCAAGGAGCACATGGCCCTCCTCCATATTTATTGTTTCACACATTCAGATGCTCATGATTTATTTTCTTTGGTGATCTCCCCGGGATTCATAGTGAAGACAAAAAAAATAATAATTAATCACACTAGCCAAGAACTGAGTGTCTCAGTGAGTTCCTAAGGTCTTATAAACAGAATGTAGCACCCCTTCAATTACTGACTTGAACACTGCTTTCTCCATGAGACCCCTTGCTCCTGCTGCCTCACCACAGTCTTGGGCTCTTCCTCCTTTACTCTTCTGCAATACCTGTCAACTCCTGTCATTCACTTCTTTGCTATATTTTTCCTTTAAGCCTGCTCTCTTCTCTATGTCTGCCACTAGCAATAGCTCCACTCTTTTTACCGAATTAATAGGGGTTCTTTTAATTTCAATGCCTCTCCTTGGAAAAAGCCATGGGGAAGTCTCTTTCTGGATACTCTTGTTTCTACAGTGAAATCCAACGCAATGTGACACCTACTTTCTCTCTCATAAGAACTCTAAGAATTCATCTTCTTTTCTTCCTTTTCTGACCACATGAGGAAGTAATATGAATGGCTAAAAAGCTCACTTGTAATATGCAAATATAGTAGCTCATTTATTATAAGGTCATTTTCCTCATTGGCTGATGATGACTTTTGAATTGTGATTTTTCTGAGCATTTTCTTCAGCAAACACATAGGCTAAAAATGTAGACTAATTCTCAAATATTAATGAGAAGATGTTTGGCCAGGACTCAGTGCTCTAGCCCATTAAGTTCTACTCAATAGTAGAATTCACTCTTGCTGGGACAAGCACTCCTTAGGGTTCCTTTACTTTCATCAAGGCAACTGCTATTCACTTGTAACTCACTTTTGTACTTTACCAAAGAAATAGACAATGTTGAGTCAAGAGGTTGTGAGCTTCATTCTGTCTCTATGTATTCATATTATGAATACAGACAAGTGTCATACACTTTCTATGCCTCAAGGTTCTCACAATATATAAAAATTGCTTGTTTCTATTTTATTTTTGAGATGTTAGAGAAATAAATGTAAATATGGATAATTTTATCAAGTAAAATATTACAGAAATGTAATACCTTCCATTGAATTTATAGTGACTTTAAGATACAGTGCTTTTCCTCCCCCTGAGGGGGGAGCAACCTTACCAGGCCACAGAGGATGACAATGCAGCCACTCTTGATGAGATCTGATAGACTAAGATCAGAAGGAAGGAGAGGGGGACCTCCCCTATCAGTGGACTTGGGGAAGGGCAGGCGTCAAGAAAGGAGAGGAAAGGTGAGGTTGGGAGGAGAGGAGGGAGGGGTTTATGGGGGGATACAAAGTGAATAAAGTGTAATTAATAAAAGTTTAAAAAAGATACGGTGCTTTGGTAGAACAAAGGGCATACTTATGTTTTGACATCAAAAAATTATTTGAATCACATAGCATGTTTTCATTAATTCTGTAGTCAGGAAGAGAACACTACTGCACAAGCACAATTGATAACAGACAGTATGTTCTTCAGCCATGACTGTAACTTAATATATTTAAAATACAGATAATATACTTACTTGGGAAGCTGGATTAACTACCAGCTTATATTTTCTAGAGAGTACCCTGTTGTTTTATATGCTTGTTAGTAACTTGCAGTACACTTCCTACTTTTAAAATTTTTGACTGTGAAGCCAAATGATATGAAAGGTCCTTAAAGGGAGACATCTTGACACAGATGTTACTCATCCCACTTGATAAAAGTACTAATTCACATTTTCAATGCATCTTGTGATATCTAAGGATACCACACCATAACTAGAATAACCTTAACTTTCTCTCTTAGCCCATGCTAACATCCCAGTGGTATCTGTCTCAGCTGTTTCTAAAATTCCTAACACATCTTATATCCAATCCCACTACTTTTATGTTTGTAAAAGTTGCTCTTTTTAGCTACCTGTTTCCATTTTATCATACAGGGTTTCTATACTTTATTTAGCAAAGAGCCCAGAAGTTGAAGTTGTTTCAGAAGCTACTTGAAGGACTATCTTCAACTTTAGAAAAGACCCTGAGAAGAGACAAAGTTGCCAAGTGCCACTAGAAACTGTCAATCTTCCTGAAAGCAGGGATCAGTAGTTCCTAATCATGTTCACTCCAACAAAAAACAATGGAATTTCTTAACAATCGATGACTCCCTTGCACAATTATCTATTTCTTCATTATAATACTTACCTCAACCATATCCACCCATTCTCGTACATTAAGAAAGCTTTTTTCACAAGTGACATCATACAGCAGTAAGACACCATCTGCTTTTCTGAAGTAAGACTTGGCGATACTTCTGAATCTGGAAAAGACAAAACCAAATTTCATCACCATTCTATTATCTAGTCATTGCTGTACACTTCATCTCTACTATGTCCTTTAGCTTTACTTTATATATCCAAGCCTACTAAATAAAAACATTAATAGCGAATATTACTGATAAACTTCAAGTAATTACTGATACACTGACAAAGCCCATATTTTTCTCCATCAGACAATCCCAAGATTGTCTGCTAACCGCAAACTTTAGCTAAAGCAATGGGGAAGCATAACAAAAACAAAATTCAATGTCCGAAACCAGCTACCAGGCATGTGGGAAACCAAAGATGCCTATCTCAAAAAAGAGTCAGAAAGTGACTGAAAAGACAGTTGATATTGAGCTATGGCCTTCACGTGCACACATGTAGATATTCATATGCATATACCCCAAAACATAAATAGTAGAAGTTCCAGTATGCTGGAAAACTGTGTTATGAAAAAGAAGGAGTAGGCTTTGTTTTGGTTTGGTTTTTTTTGTTTGGTTTTTTTATATGAACAAAGATGATTTACTAAGGGCCAGATACAGAGAGACCTGGATGGAAGCTATAGCATATCTCCAAGAGTCCAAAGAAGAAAAAAACAGTGCAGTAAAATATGAAGTGACCAATGGCATCACTGAATAATAGAGTATGGTATAAACATAGGCATCTCAAAAACTCATTGCACAATTGAGTAAATTTTTAACCACAGAGAGCTAGATTAAAATGAAAATGTATGCTTCATACTTCTAGTCATGGCAAGAAATCTAAGATATGGAATCACCAGAATATGCCTACCACTTATTGAGAATGTTGTTGTCCTTCAATCAAGGGTATTTGACAAGGTATTGTCAACCATCATTTACTGCTTCAAAACTAAGTATCCCTCCAAGTGACACCATATTCAGAAATAATGTCTCCTCTCCACTGCAAAGTGTGATGTCCCAAACACATATCAGCTTAATGAAAGCCCAGAGTCCCTTCTCATACAAATGATACATATACATGGGAGGGGATGTTGGAAAATGATCTTTTTTGATACTACATATAACTTACAATTATAAGTACAATATCTTAAAGCACTGTGATATATTGTGAATAAAAATAGTATAGTAAACCCTATGAGGCTTGCCTTTGTATTCTTTAATCCAAAACACTATGAAAAGTACTTGCCTCTCTTGTCCAGCTGTATCCCAGAGCTGAAGAATTGTTTGTTCACCATCTACAATTAGAGTTTTCATTTGAAAATCAACTCCTGAAATAGAAACACCACACGTAATTCTGTAAGTTGTGACTTAGATGATAGAAAAGCTAAAGACAAAGACAAAGTAGAAACAAATACACTTGGCTTTCAAATACTGAGTTTCAAATAAACTAGATCACACATTCATATTTATATAAATGGATGTACTATCTGCAGCCAGGCTGATTTTAGGAAGTATTCACTATGGAATAAAGAAAGCTCAGCTTATTTTTCCTAGATGATTGAACTCAGAGCTATTTTTTGTGCATGCAAAACTGTGAATACGTATGTATATGCACATGCATGTGTATGTTATGTGTGCTGTTTATATACTGCATGTACATGTATGCAAATAACACGGTATGTACAATACATGAATGCTCACATGTGACCACTGTGCACACATACATTTATACAAATATGTGTGCATATAGGTGTATGACACACACCCACACACACCTCAGGGTCTCTATCAACCAAAACAATGGTTTCTTTTATGAATTAAAATAAAGTGAACTTTCAGTTTTGTTATCATAAAAGGTTTGCCAGAGAACTATAAATTTACAAAGACGCCCAAATTGATAAGGGCAATCAATTTGTTTTATTATTTCTGATTATCTAAATAACTCTTTATATGAAGAAGCAAAGTAAATGATAATGGATATATTTCAAACCCCTTCTATTAATTATTATGTAAATTTGAAAATCACAATATTAAATTTCTTTACTTTTTTGTTAGTTCTTTGTGTACTTTGGTATCAGGAAAATAGTGGTAAGAAGAATTAGGAAATGCTCCCTCAGTTTCTGTTTTGCAGAATAATTTGAACAGTATTGCCATTAGTTCTTTGAAGATTGGTTAGAATTCTTCACTTAATCCACCTGGCCCTGAAACATCTGTGGTTAGATTATAATTACTGTTACTATTTCACTAGGGGCTGCAGGCCTCTTTAAATTGCTTATTTCATCTTGATTTAACTTTAATAGTTTACATACATCATACATGTAAATATTCATCCATTTCTTTTAGGTTGTCCAGCTTGGAGAAGTATTTTTTTACTTTCTAAGCTTAAAATATGTCTTTATTATTATTTTAATTGTGTTATATATATATGTATACATATATATATATATATATGTAAGTCATGTAAGTTATGTCAACTGTAAGTCATGACCACTTACACAGATTACATATCAAATACCAGATCTGCATACCGGATATTTAGATTATAATTCATAACAGTACAAAAATTATAGTTATGAAGTAGCAAGGAAAATAAATTTATGGTTGGGGGTCACCACAACATGAGGAACTGTGTTAAAGGGTTGCAGTATTAGGAAGGTTGAGAACTACTAATGTAAAAGAATAAAATAGATTCTTAATATCACTGTGTGCAAAACGCAGATCTAAATGGATTAAGAAGCTTAATATAAGACCAAATACTCTAACTTGATAGAAGAGTAAGTGGAGAATAAGCTTCAGCTCATTGGTACAGGAAAAGACTTTCTGAACAAGCATCAACAACACAGTCATTAATACTAACAAGTAGCAAATGAGATAACTCATGAAAAGCTTCTGTACTATAAGAACACTATTATTTTAGCCCACATGATAAAAAATTCTTACCTATTATATATCTCAAGGAGTATTGCTATATATGATATAGAAAAAACTAAAAATAACTGAACATCAAGAAAACATCTCAATTAAAATACAGGATACAGAATGAAGTAGAGAATTCTCAAAAGATAAAACACAAATGGCTGAGAAACATTTAAAGACATGTTCAATATCCTTGGCCATCAGAAAATGTAAGTAAGAACTACTTTGAGATTTCATCTTATCCAGTCAGAATGGCCAAGGTCAATAAAATAAATGACAGCTTATAATGGTGAAGATACAGGGAAAGAGAAACTCCTATTTATTGCTGGTGGGAGTGTAAACTTTTATAGCTACTATGGAAATCAGTTCCTCAGGAAGCTGGGAATAGATCTACATCAAGATACCATTATTAGGCATATAACCAAAGCACTCTACATCCAACTACAGAAATATTTGCTCATCTAAGTTCTTTGCTGCTCTAATTGTAATAGTCAGAAATTGGAAACAGGTATATATAAATTTACATAATAGAATACTGTTTAGCTGTTAAGAAGTGAATTTATTAAATTCATTGGCAAATAGTTGGAGCCAGATAAATATCATCCTAAGTGAGGTAACCCAGGCCACCCAAAAAAAAATTCCACATTTTCCCTTATACGCAACTCTTAGCTTTTATGTTTTCAATACTCTTTAAATATGCAAAAAAGACTCCTAATGACATATTACTACACCTATTGATACATGTATTGTGGAACCCATATTTACTGTAGGGACAGTAAATAGGAATTAACACAAAGACTGACAATTGGAAAAGGTATAAGAGATAGTGAGAGATTTTGGAGCATTAAATTTTTAAAGAGATCAAATCTCAGTAATCTGTGTGGAAGAGGAAGCAAAAAGATTCTATGAGCCAGATTGGATGGATGACTCCAAGAAAATAGTGTCTGCCAGAGGCAACAGGACTGAAGAACATATGAACTAACAGAGACTATGTCTGCATGCATGGGACCTTCACAGTTTCAAGCCAGGTGGAGTCTAGGGCTGAAAAGAAAACAGAAGTTAGGACATGGGATCCTAACCCTAACAAGGAAGATCTTCGCAACTGTTAACTGTGGGTGAATGAAAACCAGGTTTCCTCAATGGAGTGTTACTGAGTATCTGAATCACACTCCAGGGCAGGCTCCATGCCCAAGAGTTGTTACCCAACACAACTGAACTCCACAGTGTGAGAGGCGCGTTTTTTTGTTTTGGTTTGTTATATTTTCTCTTATTTGGTTGTTGTTTGTTTTGATTTTCATTTTTTTTAATGTGCATTTTGTTTTTGAAAGAGTGAGAAAGACCATGAAGTTAGGTGGGTAGGGAGATGTGATTATTTGGGAGGAGTTGAGGGAGAAAAAACATGACCAAAACATATTGTGTGCAATTTTTAATTAAAAATTTGTATTTAAAAAAGACTCAGAACAAAAGAAAGAAAAGAAAAAGAAAGAAAAGTAATGCTACTTAAACTCATTTTCTTGTAGACATGTGAAAAGGAGCACAAACACAGATTTAATTTTTACTTTAATTTCAAATTTGCCACGATCATTGAAAGTTTTTAACATAAAATGAAGGATCAAAAGTTTTCCCTAGCCACTTATGGAAATATGCAGTTCTTTCTGCATCTCATTTTTAAAATTTATTTTGGTCAACTTGTTTCCACTGAGTGAAAGTTCCGTAAAGGTTGAGATTCAGTCACTTTTTCTTCATTGTATATCTCTCAGCATTACAATACCAGGCTCTCTACAAAAGGCTTGAGAAATATATGCTAAATTAAAGAATCTAAGTCTAAGCAGGGTTTGTTTGATTTTACTGTCTACAGAGATTCCCATTGTCTGTCAGTTTTTTCTTTATTAGATTTTAGTTTTTTAAATTTTAGTCAAAAAAAAGGATTATTCTAAATATAAGGGCACACATACAAAAACACACAGTCTCTGTATACTGAAGTCATACACATATACTTTATTTTGTGAATCTATGTATATAAAACCTGAAAGAAAAGAAATCAAGCTGGTAAATAGGATGGTAATTCTTCTGTTATCAATGGAAGTGAGAGCCATACCTAGGGTTGCACTTGTGTTTCCCTGAAATTCATTCTTACAGAGTCTCATGAGAAAGCTGGACTTTCCCACTGCAGCATCCCCTGCAAGCACGATCTTGTAAGCCTTCTGAGATGTATGTTTGGAGTTGTCATCCACCATGCTTATCTAGAGAGATATAACAAAATGAGTGATGACGGGGTCATTTTTCCTCTTAAGTAACGTGCCATGAAAAGAATAATGTCAGAAGCTACCTACTTGAGATGAAAGAGCTGAGATGGGCTTTCTGGAAGAAATAACAGTACTGCCCTCACCAGCAGACCCCTGTGGCTTCCAGTGTAAGACAGAGGCCACACTTTCAGAAGCAAATGCTTCTTCATCTCTTATATCCGGAACCTATCAAAAAACATCAGCAATTAAAAACCAAATATCTTAACATATATATGTCACAGAGCAAAGACAAATAAACTATGCCACTGAGTCTACTACCAGTCTACTATTTCAGAACAAATCTTTGATAATTCTTCCTTAGTTTAGTGGGAAAAACATCCATTCTAATTAATAAGGTTCTTATTTATGACCTTAACACTTAACAGTGTTGTTAGGACAGATTTCTGTAATACATGATGAAAGATTTTACTCAAAGGAGAGCATCAGTGTCATGGCTTCTGGCTTACATCTGTGTCTGATGCATCTCCCCGAAGGCTTTCCTGTGTTCTGTGTAAACTCTGAAATCCTCCCTGTTGCTTGTAGTCTACCTCAGAGTCACACTCATTGGAGTCTCTCAAAGTAGACAAGCCACTGTCAAAGCAGCTCTCAGGCAGGCTGTCAACTTCATAATTCATCTTCTGCAGAGGATCACAGAGAGCCAAAGAGTCACAATCCTCATCTGCATATGAAGAATGGAATGACCTTGTGATAAAAGAGGAGACAACTTTACCAAGAAGTTCACAATGAGCAAAGGGACAGGCTGACAACATTGTCATTTGCCAGGAGACATAGTATGTTCCCGTAGCTTGGAAAGAGGAAGTATACAAAGTATAGTCAGTTTATTTAGTGCAGTAATTTGTGACAACAAAAGCCCTCAAATGAGAAACCTCATACATGTTACTCTTTTTAATCAGCTGGTCTATTTCCTGATACAAAGAATGACTACACTAGATACAATTACAGTCTTAACACTACTTTAATAAAATTTCCCTGGAACACAAGAATTTTTTTTTTACCATAACACAGACCACATTCTGCACAGTCTGTCTATTTCTAGATTTAACTTTTTTCTATTTTTTGTTATGTGTTTATTTTCAAGACAAGGTGGTTGGGAAATTTTTTCCTTGAAGGTGAGGAGGGGAAATTAGGCAAAACCTACCCTCATACAATGTCCCAATTACAAAACAGTGTTCAATTTCACCAAAGTAGCACCTAGAAAACTAATGATTTTATTACTTACTTACAGAGCATGGGTAAGAAGTTACCGATAGGCGCGTGAATGAGCCCAAAGTAACTGCACAGTAAAGTCTTACCCAGTGTGGATGATGGCTTCCCCATAGATGCACAAATGGAGCCCTCTCTCTTAGTCTTTTTCAATATATATGTACTCTAGCTAGTGCCCAGGACTTCAAGGCCATGTACAATTAAAGCAAAACTACATACAACCAACTGGTAGAGGGGCAATGAATACTCAGGTGAAGATTCCATGACCCTCTCTATCCCTTCTTTCTATGCGGAAAAATCAGCACTCAATAGCCCATGCCTAAAGATTTTTTGCAAGCAAGAAGATCTGTAAATTAGCATAGAAAAAAAGCACCTTGTTAACTTCACATATCAAATTAGCCCCCAGGAAGGAAGTTCTGCACAGGCCAAGGAGGTTTCTAGTTGGGTTCAGAATGAAAAACTATTCTATCCTTGCATCTCCAAGGGCATGGTGATATGGTGAAAACACTGTCCCTTAAAACATACTGGGGAGGAATTCTTATTCCAGTACCAGAGCCACATTTGTGGCATCATTTTTCAAAAATAAATCGTGATGAGACTTCTGAAGTAGTTTTGTTTAGTATGCTTTTTTCTCTACATCTTGCTGAGAATTGCTTTTAACTACTAGTCCTGAAAAAGTTGCGTTAAATCTGCATATTTTAAAAATATGTATTTTTTACTAACAAGATGTTCAGTTGTTTCTTAATAAATAAACCATTCATTTTATAAATCAGCAAACACTCAAAAAAAATAAAAAATAAAACGCACTCAGGACAATCTGTAATGAGAGACTTTCCCAATGACAGAAAGAGCTTCAGCTGTCACCAGCTGTAGTTGAGCACTATTGTTCTGTAGTGAGGAACTTTCCCAATGGCAGCAAGAGCCTGTGCTATCACCAGGTGTGATAGAGCACTACTGATCATCACCAGCTGTTACATGGCTGTCTGTCATAAGATTGTCCTGTTGATAGTCCTCAAGGAGGAGAGAATGAAGAGCATCAATAAAGGGGGCTGCAAATAGTTTAAATCTGAGGGCTCTGGAGAGAGAAAAATGCCATAGCCCAAAGAGTATGGAGGAGCTCCGAGAAAGAACAAGACTGCAATAGGATCCCCACTTCAGATCCTGTTGCTGTCGTTGCAGTGAGACAAGCAGATGGAGAACTCCTGAAACAAGGTTTGGACTGACTCCAAGGAACCCAACAACTCTAACCAGCAGGAAGCAGCTAAGAAAGAGAACTATGTCCCCTCTCCCACTAACTCTTTCTCTCTCCTACCTGGTGTTGGGATGTTGGAAGGAATTGGGGTGGAGTGGAGAAAAAGAGATATAAAAAATGTAAATAAGAGATTTTTTAAAGTATAAAATGGGAGGGCAGATCGTTATCCAGGCTTGAATGGAACTCTACAGTGACACAGTTGTTTGGGGTCACTCCTGCTCCTGTAAGTTAGCCCTACAAACTCACTTGTTTTTAAACCAGTGGTATTTATGGAGCTATATCTTCAGACTTTCCTTGATGCCTACATATACCCATGAAAAAGTCATGCAATATCAGAATACTAAGAACATGCTTATTTATAATAAAAGTAATCCTCCCGCACATACAAATGAGAACAAACCTGAGTTAGAAAGCTCCAGACATACTGGAAGCTTTAGTGTATAGTATACTTTTTACTTTCATTTTATACTTTGATATGCCACAAACTTAACTTTTAGCTAGCCATGCTGGACATGTACACACACACATACACACACACTAATAATCACTGTTTATTATGTGATGTCTTAAAAGTCAAGTTAAATTCTAAGCTTTGGTTTCAGTTTTTTTAATATTTAGTAATTCATAAGCCTAGCCATTAAACATTAATATTAAACATGGACAGATCATGACAAGAGGCTTAACACAATACACCATCCATAATGCAACAGCACAGGACATGATTAGATGTACAGGATGGTGGGTGCACATTCAATCACTCAAAGCATATTGAGAAAATAGCTCCCCTCTACAATATGTTTACTGCTTTTCCTTTATCACATTTCTGAGCATTAATGTAAGATCACAATAAACATAACTTTAATTAAATATATTCCTTTATTTTAAGATAATTTGTCTTACTTTCAACTTCATTCTAGAACTCAGATGATAAAAGAAGTGGGTGTTACATACCTATCATAGGCCAGTGGTTGAGAAGAATGGTGATGAAATTTGGGACTGCTTCTAGAAATTGTATTTCCTGGTGATATGTTATTTATACGCTGTAATGCACAAATGATGGTTTAATATGTAAACACTTCCCATACTACAGACAAGATGTGCTGATGCACATCACATTTTAACTCGCAATACACATTTTAAAAAAATCTATGACCCCACATGAGCAAATGTGAACATGAAAAAAATCACTTGGGAAGTTTCAGCAAACATAACAGAATGCTTTCTCTTCCTCTTCAGATCTTACTCTTATATAGCTCTACTGCATATCCCACAAGTGTCCACTACCTCCTCAAATATTTCAGGACTCCACAACATTAGCTGCTTCAGATTTGTCTCTTCTGGAAGCATAATCTTGTTGAGTAACTCTTCTGTATCCAAACATGGCACTAGATTCTCATACCCAAAGCTGAGCCACAAAAGTGCTATTAGATGCTTCATTGCAAATGCAATCTGGGGAAACTTGTTTTTGCCAGGGAGGGTTTAAAATAGAAAACTCTCATTCATCAGGAGTCTGCCATACAGAACATCACTAAGCAGAAGCATAGCTGCCTTCTCTTGACTGACAACATTTTTTTGACCACAGGATTTCGGACTTTTTCTTGTACTTTGCTGTCCTTCTGTGAAGACTAACTAGCTCTTAAATAATTAAGCCTTCCAGGGCAAAAAGTATCTTTCCCTAGTTTCATAGAATATCTAAACACTTGGTTAATATAATTGCATTTATTTTTACAAAAAGAGCATATTTTTAATTTAGAAAATTCTTATCCTCTTTACTTTATGTAAAAAGTGTCTCACTATAAAATCAACATGAGGTTATGCTAAAATATCACATTGTTTTCATGCCCCAAAACATTTGATGAAGAAAAAGAACAGAATATCTTGTAAGATGACATCACATACCAAGGATCTGTTGAGCTTGCTGTAAGTGTTTTCTAGTGCACTCCTGAGGCCATCATTACTGTCATGTAGCTTCCTGTTAGCTGTTCTGTATGGGAAGTAGACAAACAGTTACATGAAGCACTGGGAAATCAATGTTTCCACTGTTTCATTAATGGCATCCAGAATTCACAGATATGTAACACTTTTTGTAATTTTCTGTTTCCCTTCAAACCCCAGAAACAGATACAAATTACAATGACACAATCGATTAATTCTCTTTCCTGCAGGTCTGGGAGCATTTTAAGAATAAATTTGCTGGGCTGTGGCACTCACTCTTCCCTCTGATAACTTCTGTGTCAACAGGCTCCATGCAGCTCTTTATTCTCAAGCTCACACAGGTGAGCCCTAGGCATCAATGCATGCTATATAGCATGCTAGCTATTCCTGCATCCCATCCTCTTCAAACCTTAAAGGAATTTTTGTTTCAAGCATACACTTGGTTATTGATCTCAGACTGATTGGAGCTTAAATGTGTACTTACCTCATGGGATATCATGAAAGTCATTTAACATCCATTTCCCTTAGCTAAAAGATATGGATCTCAGAGTCCCTATCACACAGAGTATCTTTTTTTCCTGTTTATAGCCACTTCATCCTTCATATTTCAGTCTGTTATCACTTCTACCGGGAGCACTTCATTCACCTTCCATAGCTCTCCATGGAGAGAGAGGCATGCGCTTTTCTTTTGTCATACTTCTTTCATTTGGATATATATCCATATCTATCTATATATACAAATATATACATATCATATCTGTATATAAATATGTATGTATATGATATCTATATATAGATAGATATGATATATACATAGATAGATAGATATGGATATATATATATATTGCATTTATTTATATGAGTAATCAGTTTCTGTCTTGCTCCTCTCTACTAGACTCATAAGGAGAGAGATTTTTTTCTGCTTTTCACTGTACTATCCTCAATTACAGGGCCTCTCACCTATGAAAGCTGTTAACTGAGAAATCTATTGAATGAGTTAATTAGTAAATAAATTCCTAAAACTATATAACAAGTGACCTCTACAGTTTCCACAGCTGAGAACACTTCTGGAGAAAAAAGCATTTGCCTAGCCCAACATTATTTCATTTAGTAGATTGAAAACCAAAGAATATACTGTGTAAGTGAAACAAATGGGGGAGAAAAATCAAAGTTTCTTGAAGAAGAACCTCAAAGCATGGAATTACTACCTTCACTTAGTTGTGAAGGTGACAGTTCAGGATAGAATTTCTTAGGAAATGCTTTTTTTTTTTTTTTAAGAAAAGATATAAGAAACCTAAGAGTACTTGTGTGTGTATGTGCGCATGTGTATGTGTGTTTGTGTGTAGTTAGCATGACACAGTGAGAAAGGATGAGTAAACTTATTCTTTGGCCCATTCTTGTGAGAAACTGAGGAGCTCTCCAGATACGCAGTAGAGAACCTTGAAGTTGAAAGTTGCATTCCTAACAGGCATAACATAGCCATTTGATATACACTTTTCTAGCTTGGGGGTCTTTGAGAACTAGATTGTGCTGGAGTGATTCAGTTAGAGTTAGAAAGTGAAGTGGACATGCCAAATGTTCTGCAATGAGAAGAGACAGTGACCTAAACACCAAGCAGGTTGTGTTTCATATCTTATTAACAAACATTAGCTAAAATGCAGTGAGCATTTTATACAAGAACTTACTGGAGGATTTCAATTTGCCTCTCAAGACTATTGCGATCTTCTGTGTACTCTCGGATTATTTCCAGATCCCTGCAAAATTATATATTGTGTTTCAGTGAGGAGAGAAGAGACAGCAGGTGTGAGCACGAGGCACAGGCAAACTCATCACTAGTTCCCAATTCTCACAAGTTATCAAGCTTCATCTATAGAAACCTGTCTGTTTGCTGCCGAATGAGAACTCAATTGCATACAGGAATTTAAAAGTTCCTTAGCCAAAAATTCCAGGCCCTTTCCAAATGTCTTATCAGCTGTTAGTGTATCTTAAAAGGTTGTATCCTATTCAAACCATCTCTTTGTCCAGTGTTCTGACCATCCTTCTCCAAGCCAGTATTTCTTTTCTGTGACCTTGCTTTTCTGTTTCTCTTCTTACCTCTAAGACTTTCTTCATCCCCTATCTGTGAAGCAGAGATAATAAAGGTCCCTAGAAGATAGGGTATTCTGTGGATGAATGTATGAACATTAATAATGTGCCAAGAATGGTCCTGGCAGGTGCAATGCTACTTGCTTCAGCTGATACTGCTGCCACTGGATTCTCTTGTCTCTTGACCAAAACAAGCAGATCCTTTCTGCTGGATCAGCTTAACAAAGGTATTCACACCCTGGATCACCTTAACAAAGGCTGAAACAAGGCAGTTACCCAGTCCCATCCTGCTAATGGTATTACTCCTCAGAGCTCACTGCTTAACTTTTTGTTTTTGCTTACCCAACTGAATTTAAAACTTTTACAGAGCAGTAACATAAGTTGCTTTTTTTAAATTTTTTTTTCTTTATTAATTACAATGTATTCACTTTATATCCCCCCTGTGGTTTTCTCCCTCCTCCTGTCTCAAAACCTCCCTTCCTCCACCCTCTGCATGCATGCCCCTCCCCAAGTCCACTGATAGGGGAGGACCTCCTCTCCTTCCTTCAGATCCTAGTCAATTAGGTCTCATCAGGAGTGGCTGCATTGTCTTCTTCTGTGGCCTGGTTATGCTGCTTCCCTCTCAGGGGGAAGTAATTAAAGAGCAGGCCAATCAGTTCATGTCAGAGACAGTCTCTGTTCCTATTACAATGGAACCCACTTGGATACTGAACTGCCATGGGCCACATCTGCGCAGGGGTCTTAGGTTATCTCCATGCATAGTCCTTGGTTGGAATAACCCCTGTGCTCAGATTTTTTTGGTTCTGTTGCTCAGACTATCATAAGTTGCTTTTATTATCTCTAAGGATCCAAACAATATAAAAAGTAAAAAGCAGTACCATTTAATAATACTACAGTGCCTTAATACTGACTGAAGTTTGAAAATAAATAAAACTTCTTTCCCCAAAACCCCCAAATTTACCCTCTCTGTATATTCATACAGCTGTATCTCTCATGTAAACAAGCCTGTCTCTGATTATGTGAGGTTCTATGTTTCTAATATCAATACCTCAAAACTAAAGCACTGACTAATTAATGAACTCACATGTTTAGGCCAGGATTCTTATCTGACAAGCACTTTTAGCAGAGGTGTGTTTTCACACAGTATTTTCTTCCCACAGCCACTTACAGCAAGCAGTTTTTAAGCATTACACTGGCTTAAGAGGCCAATAAGTCAAATGTTTACTTTTTTAAAAAAAGATTAAGCGTGTGTGTGTGTGTGCACGCAAACTGGTCACTAAAGGTAACATCTTTAGAAAGCAATATATATTCCCCAAAGTTAAGAATAGCTCTCCATTATGAATAGTTTCATACCGTTCAGAATTCAGACTCTGGTCGGCATAATCACTTTTTAAAGCATCTAGTTCACTCTGAAGAAAGGCTATATTTGTCTGTGCTTCCAGAAGATCTTTCTGGAGTTTTTGATTTTCCTAAAGAAAATAAACCACAAAGGTCATTAGTCTCAGGTTTTTCTTGCTTCTAGAAAAATGAAGCAGTATATACTATAAGCCCACAAAATAAAACTACCTTTTCTCAGTTCTTCTTCACATCTGTCTGCTCAAAGAACCAATTATATATTCAAAAATTGTATATTCTTAAAGTTTACAGTGGTTTTTCATTTTGTATGTAACATCTATCCAAAACTATAATGAATAAAAGCTGATAATAATGCACTAATGATATTAGAAAATTAACCAAGACCAAATATCTGAACATCTTCCCAAAATTGGTTACACTTGGTTGCTTTTAATAATATCACCATCTAACTTTTTGAAAATGTAATTAAAAATAGGCATAGTTATGAAACTTTACATTTTTCTATAAAAGAGAATTCACTGGACACTTCCAGTTCAAATAGTTGACTATGCACAGAGACAATCTATTTTCCCTTCCCAGAAAACCTCCTGAATATGAAATTACAATGGAAATTAACCATTAACAGGTAAGTAAATGGCAGAGGGGCTCATGAATAGTCAAGTGACATTTTTAGAAAATGAAAACCAGATGTGTGCCACCAAATTTTGGGCAGAGTGCAGGGAATCTTATGAAGAAAGGGGAGATAGAAAGACCTGGAAGGGACAGGATCTCCACAAGGAAAGCAACAGAACCAAGAAATCTCAGCCCAGGGGTCTTTTCTGAGACTAATACTGCAATCAAGAACCATGCATAGAGATAACCTAGAACCCCTGCACAGATGGAGCCCATGGCAGTTCAGTGTCCAAGTGGGTTCCCTAGTAGAGGGAACAGGGGCTACCTGTAAGATGAACTCAGTGGCTCACTCTTTGATCACCTCTCCCTGAGGGGGTAACAGCCTTACCAGGCCACAGAGAAAGACAATGGAGCCACTCCTGATGAGACCTGATAGCTAGGATCAGAAGGAAAGGGAGAAGGACCTTCTCTATCAGTGGACTTGGGGAAGGGCATGGGAGGAGCTGATGGAGAGAGGGTGGGGTTGGGAGGGGACAAAGAAAGGGGCTACAGTTGGGATACAAAGTGAACAAACTGTAATTAATAAAAAATAAATAAATTTTAAAAAGACCAACGAGAAAAGCTGAATGCAGGTAAAGTCACACATCCAAAAGCAAGGATGTTTCTAAAAGTATGGGAATAACCACGTAAAGAAGCTTTTAACACCATGTGTGCATTACTTTAAATAAACGTTAAAAAAAATATAAGTAGTATGTAATTGAGAGAAAGTACCTCTTTTATAATATAAAATAATGAAATATAACAGACCTTTATATTTCAAAGGCTTTCTATAATTATAGTATCAGTTCCTCTTTAAGATTTTATTCCAGAAACACAAAAATCATAAATACCACAAATAAGTACATGCTGTCTGTGTTGGTTTGTTCTTTTCAACTTGATACAAGAAGTTAAAGTCATTTGGGAAGAAGAAATCTCAATAGAGAAAATGCATACATAAGATTGGCCTATAAACAATCTGTTGGGCATGTTCTTGATTAATAACTGATATGGAAGTTTCTACTATGGATGGTGACATCTCTGGGCAGGTGGTCCTAGGTTATATAAGAAAGAAAACAATGGGAGAAAGCTAATAAGCAGTGTTTCTCCTTGTCTTCTGCTTTTCTTCCCACCCTTACTTTCTCTGGTGACAGAACTGATGTAAATGGAATAAACTTTCCTCCCCAAGTTGCTTTTGGTCATGGTGCTTTTTCATATCATACCTGTAGAAAACTAGCTAAGACACTGTATTTTTAAGTTTATTTTTTATTGATTTTACATCCTGGTTGTATCCCCATCCTTTGCCCGCCCCACTCAGTCCCAACCACTTTCCCTCCCTCCACCCTTCATCCTCCACCCTTCCCTAGGCCTCAGCAAAGGGGAGTTCCCTTTTGTGTCAACACAGTTCATTAAATTGCATCAGGACTGCGCATGTCCTCTTCCTCGGTGGCCTGGCAAGGCAGTCCCACCAAGGGAAGTGATAAAAAGTTAACAAGTGAGTCCATGTCCAATGCAGTCCCGTATTTCCTTACTAAAGTACCCACATGAAGCTTAAGCTGCCCATTTGCTACATCTTAGTATGGAGCCTAGGACTATTTCCTGCATGGACCTTGGCTGATGCTTCAGTCTCAGCAAACACCTGTGGGGCCTGGTTGATTGGCACTATTGGTCTTCTTGTGGAGCTTCCTTTTTCTTCCACATCCTTTTCTCTTTCCTCCCACTTTCCCACAAGACTCCCCACTCATTGCCATGTGTTTGGCTGTGATTTTCAGCATCTGTTTTGAGGTGCTGAGAGAGATGACTCTCTCAGAGGTCATCTCTGACAGGCTTCTTTCTGGAAACTTAACAGAGGATCTTTCATAATGTCTGAGGTTGGCGCTCTCCCACAGTATGGGTATTTCGTTGGGTCAGGCATTGATTGGGTATTCCCTCAATCTCTGCTCTATCTGCCTTTTTCCCTACTCATCTTGAAGGCAGGGTGAATTTGGGGTCAAAGTTTTTGTGGGTATGTTGGTGTTCCCCTCCCTCTGCTAGGAGACTAGTCTAGTTAGAGGATGTCCCCCTAAGACTCTATGGCCTCTGCTGTTAGGAGTCTCTCCTTGAATTCACCTCATATCTTCCCAGGAGCCTACCCTAAGTTAGGTCTCCAACTTTAAGACACTGTCTTAGGAAAAAAATTTATTTCAATGAAGCCTGATTCTTACCATTGTTAAATCATAAATTTGTTTCTTTAATGCTGTCACATCTTGCTTTTGACTTATGTGTCTTGATTGTTCTTCAAGCTGAAAGAGGAAACAAAAACTATACATTTCCAAACTCATTTAGAAGTGCTTTGGTGAGGATTATATATTCTTAAATATGAATGTGGAATACTCGCAGTTTTCTATTTTTGACATCTTATGACTTTACAAATCACAAATTAAATAAAATCTATAATATTTAAACACTTATTTTAAATAATGCAAACAATTGGAGGACTTTCATTATTAAATGTATTATCTTTTAAACCCTGGAAAATCCCTTTTGGAAACTACTCCACTATAAAGCAATCTTTGCTCTGCTTGTCTGGTGTGAGAATATGGGCATTCTCGTTTATCCTCTGTGCTTAACACTTTCTATTTCACTTTTTAATGGTCTTACCTTCTATTAGAGTGTATGAATTTTTTGTTGTTGTTTTTTTTTTTTTTTTTTTTTTAGTTGACACAGTCTCATATTATACAAGTTAGCCTCAATTTTGCTTTGTGACTAAGGCTGGCCATTTGAATACCTTACCTTCCTAACTCACAAGTGCTAGAAATACAAATGAGTGCTAGAAATAAAATTTAAGAGGAGTGTTAATGTCAGACTCACCTGCTTTCTTCACGGTGAATTTAAGAAGTGTTTGCAATAATAACCAAAATCACTAATACCTAAGCATGATGTGAAGCTAGAGAAACAGAGAGAGAAAGAGAGCGAGAACTACAATTTTACATACATAAGGTCAGCATGCTTGCTGATACACTCATATCAGAGTTCAAGAATATCTAATACAAAAATAACTTTCCCATGAGTCAGGGCACATTTGTGAACCCAGAATTCAGAAGGAAAAGACAGGAAGATTGTAAGTCTAGAGCCAGCCTTCCCTACACAGTGAATTCAAGATCAAGCTGATCAAGGAGAGATCAAGACTATGTCTCAAAAATAAATGTCCCAAATACAACATTTTCTTAGCATGTATAAGAAAATGGTCAAATACTAGCGTTAAAATCCTAGCACTGCAAACAAAAACAGAAAGACTGACTACAAAGAAGTAACATCCCAGATCTGTGAGGGTTTGTTTGCATGTGTCCTTAAACAGAGGGCTTCTTCACTAGCTCAAAATGCTTTTCACATTTCATCATGCTATCTCCACCTCACCAGAAGTTGTCATGTGACATGACTACCATGTGACTAACTGTGATTAACAAATAGATGAATATTAACCAGGCTTGGTATCTAATCAAGATGGTCTCAATTTCCAGGCATTGCTTTCTGCTGTATCCTTCCAGACAGAAAGAAGAAATGATTGCTTACTTTGAATTGACTCTTCTGTAGGGCATGAGGCAAGTCTGCTTCCAGCCTTCTACAAGTGAATCTCAGCCCGTAGATTCTCTAATATTAGCACTTTTATGAGAGTCAGATGGTTGTGGCTTTGTGGACCTACTTCCAGGTACTTTAGTCCATTGATCTGTGTGTCTTTCTAAATGCCACTTCTGTGTTGTTTTTGTTGCTAAGCCTGTGTAGTATTACTTGACTTAAAAATTGTTTTTGTGATGTATTTTTAAAAAGCAGATGCCTTATGACTTTACAGGAGAAAACATTATGAAGAAATAATCCAAGACTCTCAGAATCAGTTGTTAAAAATAGTGACAGTTACAATAATCTGTAAATAATCCTCTATAATTTTTGAGGCCCTTAACATTCTCTGCTAAGAAACTTGTTTGCTGTTTTATGTAGCAAACATGTGAGGTAGGCAAGTAGTCTAGTACAGGCCAGAAGCATGGACTCTACTGGTTACTAGCTCTGTAATTCTGAGCAGGTCTTTGCCCTCTCTGCAACTTAGTCTTCATTTGTAAAAGTAGGACATTTAATAAGAACCCAGAAACAACTGATATTTAGCATTTTCAAATTATGGGAATAATATTAATAACTTATAGTCAATAAAATACAAATTACCATGGTGATACAGAATAATTCATTATTAAAACTGTTTTAAATGAGAAAGTAAAGATTAAAATGTTAAAAATATTTCTATGTGTTATAAGGAAAATTAGTATAATTTCAAAGAGGACTCAGGCTGCATCATCCTCGCTTATGATCTCTCACTGTTAGGTGTTCATTATATGTTATATTAGGTTACATTTTTGGCATCCATCCTTGCAATACAAAAACTTAGGAACTCCAGAAATAAATAAAGACAGTGACTAGAAGTTTCAATGGATAAGCTAATTCATCATTAGGGAATAGTTTCATAGGATGATGGTCTAGTGACTATTTAAAACTACATATAAGATAATCATGGAGAATCACTTTATAGAGGACTCCAAGACAATTGTTAATCACTGAAGAGATTAAGACCATCATAAGTGACAATGATGAGTTAACTGTAACTTAACTTTAGTGATGCATATGGTAAAACATAAGAATATCCTGTAGGATAGTCTAGGCAGCTTCATGAGCTTCTAGTGCTACATGTTACTAAGAATATTGGGCTCCCCTATTGAGGATCCTAGTCTCAATAATAAACAAATTTAGTAAACAACTCAGAAGAAAGCTCAAAAACAATTTTATAATATTTTAAAGGGAAAACTTTATGCAGGTAAGCTTTAATCTTGGTGGCTGCCAGTGGGTAAAGATACTGAAAAGGAAAACATGCCCTTTGAGCTAAGATTGGCATATTCAGCCATGGAGGTCAGCCACAATACAGACAATGCCACATGGCAAAAATGTAGTGGGGAGGAATAGAGAGAAAGAATAAAAAGTCCCAAGGCATCAGGAAAAGCATGTCTAGAACAGAGATGGAAGAAATAAAATGTTATGCTTTTCTGAGTAATTTAAAGAAGATGGGAGAGGAAAGGAAGTTCCATGGATACCACTCACTAAGCAACTGCACATAAGGCAGTGTTTCTGGGAAGGAAAACTGCATTATCTTATTAAATTCTTCCTATCTCTTTAGCATGGCTTTACGTGAATCCACCTTTCTAAAGGATTGTCCTTTAAACCAAGAGACTTCCTGGCCCACTTGAATTAACTTGAATGGTTGGGGTAACCAGGAATGGTAGGTTTCTACACAGATTAAATAGATTGGATGTTCTTGACCAGTATGAAACAGCTTTCCCTTAATTGCCATCCAGTACTACTGTAATATTTTACTTTTAGTTGTTTACTTAAACTGTTCCCACTACTTAGGAAAACAACCACATGTAAGATCTGAGCTTAACCCTGATATAACCAGCTTCTAGTGATAAATGAGAGTTTATTTCTGTATATAAATTGAGATGTCAATTTGATAGCATGATGTCAATAACACTAAAAACATCTGTACCATAGAAGCTGGTAAGGGCTCCAAATCTGCCCTATCCCACTGCCTCACTCCAGAGCCACTTTTTACCATGTGCCAACAAACCAGAGTACATACAAAATGTTTGTTGGAACCAAAAAAGAGAGTGCCAGCACTCAAACATGCATTTGCTCATGTTTCTACAATTTTTTTCTTACCTCTTAATATTCGGGTGATTGCTAGACCTGGAACTTTCTACTTAAAAGAACAATTTCTTATTTTGCTTAATATTTACTAATTAATTATCTGCTACACACCTTCAAGTAACCTAGGAACAGGAATACAGCCAGATAATGTTTCAGTAAAGGACAGACTCTCCACTGGTAACAGGGGATTTACGCAAAGCACTTAGTGAATGAAAACTAAAGAAACAGGTTTGATGAACTCTTCAAGGATAAGTAAGATATTTTATTATTCCCACATTAAAAGTCAGATGGTCCAGTAGTTAAAAGAACTACAGGGCTTTCAAAAATAAGTCTCCCAAGTTGTTGAACTGACTCACAAATGTCATTTTTTCTTCTACTATAATATAATTTTAATTTTTTTTTTAATTTTCAATGTCTTAATGACACAGCCTCAGTATCTCAATGACACAATCAGATACTGAGGCTGTTTCTAGACTATCTAGATGCCATATACAAACCTTTTTTAACCTTTTAATGGTCACCTGTAGATCTCCTACTTCTGTTTCATACTGACGTCTTAGGTCACTGAGGGCTTCCTCAGCTTTGCGTTTTTCCTGGAAGGAAAATTAAAAACATGATTTAAGTAATTTCGATATTATAAACAGCCTTCAAACCTTCATAGACATGAAGCACTTTGAACCAAGTTAAGCTGACCAAAATGGTCCTAAACAGGAAAGATGAGATTAGACGGCAGAAGGACACCAGGAAGTTTTAGGTGTGTAGCAGTGCTAGACTTGAAACCTTCAAAACTGGAAGAACTGCAGAGCATCAAGATTCGCACATGATCTTGAAGTTCAGTCTCTAAGACTGTAACACTGTAATCAGGCCAACATACCCCAATAAATCAGTTAACCATTACTGTTAAAAAATATAGCGCAGCTACGAGATCCCAAGAACACCTACATCTTATGATGTCTCAAAATTCAGGAAGGCACAGCAGTGTACCTGTTGGTTGGGGGGGGGGG